CGGTGGCGAATATGTTGAAAAATAGCTGGATACTTGCTGTATCTGTTGCAATAAATATTTCCATGAAATTGTGTTTTGTTTCTGTAAACGGCCCCAGGGAAACTTACTTTGTAGACCAGCCTCGTACATGTGAAAGGAATGAACACTTGCTAGAACAAGGTCTGATACTAGATGTTCTTTTCATACTCTGAAAATCTTCCCTCTTGTCAGTCAAGCTAGAAATTACATTCATTGTATACTGCTGTATGTCATTACAGCCTTGAGACTCAACTGTAAGGATGCACATCCTACTAAACTTCTGAAACAAGCTTCATTGACTTTACTTAGAACCATTTCAATTTGCTGTGGAATCAATGCTGATCAAGTTCAGCCATCATCAACAAAAATATTTTGTTCACTATTGCGGGATATAATTCAGGTAAGCAAACATTTTCTGCACTCAGTGTTTAATAGTCAATACCAGTTTTATCTGCATTTAAAAGTTTGTTAGTTTTATCCATGAAGTATCCCAAAAAATACAAGTTACATTTATTTTCACTTTATTATCTTTGTTGGCAATTACAATGAATGGAAAGGAAGTAAGGATCGGATTGAAATTCGTGGTATGGAGACAGAAGTGTTAACTGCTGTTTGTGATGATAGAAGATAGTGTGGTGAGGAAGTGAACTATAGATAGTATATCAGCTGATGTTACATACAAGAGATGGGTTATTGTACAAGGACCTAGAAGTGCAGAGTTATTAAAGCGCTAGATAATTATCTGTTTATAAAACCTGGAGATTTATTACTGAAGTTATTGTAAATGGTTTTGAATTTGTTTTATCCAGTTCAAACTCTTGTAACCTGTTTTAATATCTAAATTAATATTATTCTTCACTCTCTTGGTCTATAAGCAGCTACTTCCTCTACCAAAATTTTATAGGCACTTAATCCTTTATCCAAGTTTCATATCCAGAGTATATTAACCACCTTTACTTCACTGTCCTCACAGTGCTAGATGAACTGTATGTATTACTCAGTTCATCTCTTGTTGAAATGAGTAATTCAAGTTTCTAAACTGTATATAGTATTCTAAATAGATTGTAGATTTTGTATGTAGTGACTACATAGATGCACTTGATAGTAACATTTTTATACATGCAGACAGCAAACAAAGCATCAGACTCACCGTCACAGACACAGCTGTTGGCTCTGAATCACCATGTAGAGTGGGCCACTCTTGGTTTCACAAGAGCAATTGCATCATCATCTGCAATGTGTCGGGCCCTCAGTACCCCAGCATGGCTGCATTTACTGCTCTCCATTGTCAGTGGCCAAGACAGTTCCATTGTCATAACATTACCCAAACAGGTATATCTTTACTTAAGGTATGTGTCATTTACTGTTGTTTTGATTTTCTTTGGCTGAATTCAGCAAATATACCGATATTGAGGTAAGTTAGTTTTTGTGTTTAATATCTGAGCATGTTGCTTCATGCTCAGTGGAGAATTCCATCAAAACAAAATACTAATCTTTTTCTTGTTAAAAAGTATTCAGTGCTGTTATAATCTTTTGTATAAACACTGTTGTTATTGTTCTTAAATATAAAAGTATTTGTTACTGCCATTGTCTTAAGAACATATAAACCAATATACTCATAGTTGTGACTTCTCAGCAGTGGAAATAAATTAATTATTATATTTATGTAATACCTTCAAGACACTTTTTTTTTTTGTGTTCTGCTATTTAGGTAGTATGTCTGTTAGTAGTCACTATCTTTTAATTCTTTGACAGACTTTGTGTACTGACATTTTTTAACACTGATTTAAAGGTTGTCTTTGTCACCTGAGCTTTATAAATCAAATGAGCTAATTAAAAATGGAATTTGAGTAGTAGAGATTATTGAAGATGCTTCCTATAGGCCTCTAAAAGATGGAAATATTTTATTTTTCAGTACCAGTAACAGACCATAGTTGGTAAAATTTGGTAGTTAAGTTTTTAAATGTTTTTACTTCCAAATAGTAGGGTTGCTATAAAACTGCTGGTATAAGAATATTCCTTACACTGTATTTTGTGTAAAAGTTATAATTATTCATGAAAAGAATTGTTAACATTTTTTATTCTGAGTGTTAGATTAACAAATTGCTGTGACTCACCTGATTGTTGCTTTAGTATGAGAAAGTAACATTTCTTCTTGTCAACTTCTAGATCTTGTCACTACGTTTATTGCAAGCAGTGCTCCCAGCTTGGGATGTAAATCCCACTGAAAGGTTGTCTCTTCTCGAGAAATTGTTTCATCTTCTGGGTTATACTGCTCTGCTTTGTCCAGCTGATTCTACTGTGCAACATACAGGTAAAATTTGTTATAACTGGTTCCTTGATTTAACTTAATACAAGGCATGAGAAATATTTAATATATGTTGTTATATGACAAATCGTGAAGTTGTATCAGTTTTAAATGACATTGAATATATTAAAATGGGTGATAACTATTGTTTGGATTCACTTTGCACAGAGGGAATTTCATTTACCTGACTGGCATTTCAACAAAGATGTAATGTTTGATTGTACAAATAAAATCTACTTGAAATAAGTTTGTCATATCTCACAGTCTTCTCAAATGATTGTGGTATTAAATCACACCAATGCCAGGAGATGTACAGTGGAGCTGCAGTGTAATTTCATGCCAAGGCAGGGGAGTGAATTAATTTCTGTCATTATCTTCATAATTATAGCTACTGGAAATGAGGGACATAAAATGATTGAAATAATTAAAATATCTACATTATTCATTTTGGAGGTTTATTGCAGAATTAATTATTGTTTCTATCTGTTCCAGGATTCAGCCGAGGCTTGAAGTCTGGTGCAGTTCGAGTGTCTTTAACAGCATCACATTCAAGTACTGTTGCAGAAGAATGCATTACCTTGCTTCGGTCTCTGCACAGCTTGCCAGTCTGGAACCAGGCACTGAATCATATTCTAGCAAACAAATTATCTGTGGCAGGGGATTTGCTTATAGAAGGTCCACTTTTTCATGTCCATCAAGTTAGTATATCAACAGTGCAATTCAGTGTGAGGACTGTGTATACTACATATTTCTAGCAAAGAATAATTATTAATATGTTTTGCTCTTGAAGGTCAATGAAGTTGAAGCAGACCAGTCACTGGGCATTCAGTCAGCTGTTATGACAGCATTATCAGTTGTCGGAGGACTGGATTCCAGGCCACGAATTGGAGGACTTGTAATTGCTGAAGGATTAGGACAAGGTGAATCTCACTAAGAAGCATCTGATGCTTTCATTATGTCTGAAGTCTTCTTGGGTGATCAATCATGTAATTATGGAGTTACATCAAGCATTTCAGAAACTTTCTCTGGAACAGTGGGTTATAACACCATACATACTGTTGATCACTTAAGAAGACATTATTTCATAGAGACTCATTAACATTTACAAATTAACTTCATAATACACAGTTTTAATCAGTTGGTTAAGGAATTTATGACTTCTATGGAACTCAAAGTTTTTACTGTGATTGGACACTCCTGATAAGTTTAATCCAGTACACATCTTCATATCATGTGTCTCTAAGGTACATTTTAAAATTATTCCTCTATTTACACCCAGTTCTCCCAAGTGCTTTATTTCCCAGTTTAACCAACTCAAACTGTATGCACATTTCTCATTTCCTGCGTGCATGCTACATGTCACACTCATCCATTTTTATTTAGTTATTATAAGAGTATTAATGAAAACTACAATATGTGAAGTTTCTTATTATGCAGTTTTATCCATTCTGCTGTTTCTTAATCTTTTCCTTCAAATATCTTGATAACATTACCATAGTGGTATGTAAAGAAATTGTTGTTTGAATGTTTTGGACATTGGTGATGATGCAGAATATCATTATTGCTTGTTGAATACACTGTTTTTGATTAATATTTTACAACATAAAGTCATAATGACTTTTTATTGTATTCAGCTGAAATATTTTGTGGTTTTGGCACAGCAATAATATCACATACTTCTTGATTCAGATCTCACCCAGAAAAAATAGTTAACCTACTAGCTTTTGTAATGGTTTATTGAGATACTTAATGCATATTCAGACCATTAACTTAAAATATACTGTGAGCACTCCATTCTTTTAGTTCATATGATCTCTTTTGATTTAGGAACTGTTTGCCATATCACTCAGCATGGGAAGTTGGTTGTTCAGTTGCATGAGACTGGCACCGTCAAAAAGCTGTCATTGTCAACCGTAGTGCCATTACAAACTGCACAATTTGTGTTGGACAAGACTCTTAGGTCTGAGCACATGCTTGATACATGGGCCACTCTACTGTCTCTTTTGTCACAACACCATAGCGACAAGCGGCAGCCAGGAGCTGTGCCTGGTATGTGTCTTGCCAGTTAAATGCATTTCATTCAAATTGTTAACACAACAGATACTACTTCATTGTAAAGATTCCTTCAAAAGAGAGACTTTTCTATCAGAAAATGATTAGGAATGCTGTTAATTCTTATATTTTTCTCATGGCTTTTATGCATACTAAATTAAAGATATTTATATATTCTGTATAAATATACTGTGTGAGTGCCATCATATTTGTTTTCATTTTGGCAGGAATGGTGAATATATCATTATTGAGAACTCAGCAAAAACGTCTGGCAGCCATGAATGCATGCATTGTTCTCTTTCGGCATCAGAATTTGCTCAGACATGTCCTTAAACACCACACACTAGGGTCATCACCATCACTTGAGATCCTTAATGAAGGAGAAGAGCTTGACCCTGTATCTGAAACATTGCTTATTCAAAAATTAATTTCTAAAGCTACTCAACCTTCGCCATTGAAGGCTTTAT